CAGGGAAACATAATATTCTGTCTTTTTAATATTTCCTAGAATATTTCATTTTTCTAGGAGAGGGCTGGGTCCTATAGGCTGAAATTGACAGAGATGTTTCCCATTTTGAGGTGAGATACACAAAACCTGATGGGCTTAAGGCTTCACAAAGGCTTAGCACTCTTTTAAAAACCAACAGGAAAAAAACCCAGTCTGTCCCCACCCCATTGCAGAAAAATTTTTTCAACTACACCAGTATATAGGATCAAGCTGTGCCCATTTCTGACTTTTGCCTTACCAAAGGCAGCCCTTCCCTCTCCCCCAAATGATTAAGGACCAATTTTGTGTTCATGTTGCTAATTAATCTTCATTACAGTACTTCATCAGCCTGTATTTTTCCTCCCATGATCGTCCAAAGTCCTTTAATTTCTGTCTGCATGTTTATTACATAAACATTTAAACATACCTCTGGGTGTTTACGACAACAAACCTTTAAAATATTTCTACTCTGAAGGGAAATTAGAAAAAGCTGCAAGATATCTATTTAGAAAAAGCTCTTACAAATAACTATAACACAGTTCATGCTATCATGACCTCAACTCTTAAGTGTTCGGATATAAATACTGCAAACTACAGTTAGCCGCTATTTACCACAATTGACCCCAAAATTTATGTTGCTATGTGAGGCAGTTGCTAAGTGAGTTTTGCCCCATTTTACGACTTTTTGCCACAATTGTGAAGCAAATCACTGCAGTTCTTAAGTGAATCATGGTGTCAGGCCTGGAAGCCATCTTTTACAATGCGGCTTCAGGCCTGCCACATTTTCTGCCATGGGAAAATGGGAGGGGGGATTATATGGAGTATGGGAGATATATAATCTAAATAACATGCCTTTCTCAGAGAGTCAAGGACATCTTGCCCTGCACCTAGGGTGGTGTGATTGGAAAGCATCTCCAGTTTTGACCAGGTCTGATTCAGAGGTGAGTTGCTCCCAGTTCAGCTCTGTTGTGTATGGCTGTTTCCTGGTTCCACTAGGGGACGCCATACTCAGTTCTGATTGATTCCTGCTTGACAGCCGGCATATATAAAGAGCTGTCAAGCAGGGTCTCAGCGTTGCCGTTAGCTGAGACGTGCGCGTAGTGAAATGCCACGTTGGCAACCTGTTAGCATTAAACTGTTAGCATAAAGAGATCTGGCTCGCCTCAGTCCTTCCCTCCACCTGAGTTCTCCCAGATAGAACAGGCCCGGATCGGGCAAACCGGTAGTAGCGGTGGCAGAAGTGCAGAAGTGTTGCGCACAAGCACAAGCGAACCCCCAACCAGTAGTAAAAAGATTGGCAACCCACCACTGGTCTGATTGAACCGTGTGATGGACATGTGGGTGCTAGGCAGGGACTTCAACTTTCAACTGGGTGGGGAAAACTTGGAAGCTTTCAGATTCGGGTTTTCCCAGATGTGCCAACATGACATCTCTAATAAAATGGAACTTCGGAGTTTTCTTTCGTTGGGGGTCTTACTTGGAACCCTGACATATGGGATCATTAAATGAATCTGGCTTCTCCCACTGACTTTGCTTGTCAACAGCTGGCTGGAAAGTTTACAAATGGTCATCACATGACCTGGGACAGTGTAACTGTCATAAATACATGCCAGTTGTCAAGCGCCTGGATTTTGACCATGTGATCATGGGGATGCTGTAACAGTCATTAAGTATAAAAGGTAATCATACGCCATTTTTTTCAGTGCCACTCAGTGGTGAGTTCCGGATACCGTTGCAACCAGTACGCACATGCGTCCTACCCTCCAGCAATGCCTCCGAAAGCCTCCGCGATGCTCCAGCTGCTCAGTGGAGTTTAAAGACAGGTAAGGACGACGGGCGGGTGGGTGGGCCCTCCAGAGCACTGTACCAGAACGGTACCCGGTGCTCGGGGCATTCACCAGGACGCCCGTACCAGGGCGTATCACCTGCAACCCACCACTGGTGCCACTGTAACTTCGAATGTCACAAAACAATGTCATTAAATCGACTACCTGTAACTCACAAAAGCAATGTTCCTCATTAACATAGTGTACATGTGGGTGGGTGGGGCATAATTATGACAATGCATCCTCTTTTAATATACAAAGATATATATCAAAATATGCATCATTTCTATCTCTGACCAAAGATGAACTCTGTGTATTCATTCAGAACAACATCTCCGCAACATGCTCTCTCCTCTTGGAAATTGTTACAGGATATGCTTAGAATAACAGAGTTGGGAGGGACCTTGGAGGTCTTCTAGTCCAAACCCCTGCCTAGGCAGG